CTTAATGATCAGAGTTGATTACATCATGTTATTCTCTGTATAACTGTTAGTGTTTTAACGATGGATATTAAAAAATTTAACATCATAAAAATCTTACATTGTGGTAGTAGGTAATTCCGTATTAATTCATCTTTTGTGGATGTACACTATACAGTTAAATAATATCATTTACTAGATGACGATGTTTCGAACACAATTTACTATTCAAAATAATATCATCATCAATTGTAGCTATGGTATAGTCGTCGTTCATTCAACCTCATTCAAAAGCTATATGACAATGCTATATGGCAGGTGATCAATAACGGAATTATGTGGAAGACTGTAGGGAGTAAGAAGATAGGAATACGTCGGACCACCGATAAGAAGACTCTAGAAGATCTGGATTTCACGGATGACTTATGTTTAATCTCACACAAACTAGAAGACCTACAGGCGAAAGCCAACAAACTGGTGAAGAGGCTGACAGCGAAGACAGGACTGCGGGTGAACACAGAGAAGACGGAGGAGATGAAGAAACCAATCAACCGACTATCAGCAACAACAACCAGCACCAATCACTTTCAACGTGAGAGATTTAACAGAGGTTACTTCCTTCACTTATCTGGCCAGGAAGCACGGTTTCAACCACACGTTCATTGACCTGAAAACAGTTTGGAAATCTTCTGCACTCCGCAGCATAAACAGCAAGATTCTGATTCTATTCAACACAAGTGTGAAGTCAGTCAGTTTTTCTATACGGGTCAGAAACTTGCACTGCCTGTCACGAAAAGCATTTCCAACAGGCTACCGCAGACTTTTATCAACAGCTGTCTCATTCGCTGGCTCCACACTGAAGATCAAATGACCGGTGGAAAGAATTGGCAACAAGAAACTCTGGCTGAGAAAAAACCAACCAAGAGCCGATCACGCAGCAAATATGGAAGAAAAAATGGAGGTGGATCGGACATACGTTGAGAAGGCCGTCGAATGACATCGCGCACATTGCAGGCCATCTCTGGAGTGGAATCCCAATGGGAAGCGACGAGTGGCTCGTCGGTGCGAGGGTGACATGGACGAGATCATGAGAGAAAGAGATGAGAGATTATAGGCAATCGTGGACGCAGCCGAATAGAACAGCAGAGGGTAGAAGAAAGTGGAAATGTGTTGTTGAAGTCCGGTTCTCGGAAACCAAGGAAATAATAATATTGCATGTATTCGCATTTGACTATATATCTAAAGCTTCAATTACCAATCCTTCCTTAACTGATTTCTGCTCACCTATAGCGCTACATGCAGTTACACATAACCATACCATAGAATTGGAGCCTGGTGAGAGATTGATAACTGGTGCTGTATTGATCAAATTAGCTGAAAATACATGTAACAGTAGATATGACTCAACATCTGTCAACTCGGATATCTGGAGAATTCTACTATCTTTACACAGAAATCGGAAGCAAAAACCGAAAATCATGAAATCAAGTTCCGACATTGTGTATTTACAATTGGTCATGTGATTATAAACAATAAATTGTGTCCCGTAAAAAAATACCGTCTCACTATCTCATATATATATATATATATATATATATATATATATATAAATAAACATTTTAATATGGAATAAGCGGCTACATTCTAGTCCAAATGTATACATTATTTCGAATATATTTTCTATTTTTTGATATACAGCTTGATTTCCACACCGTATTTTCAGTACAAGTGTGGAACTTTCAGCATGGATATCGGTTGCCCAAATTCAGGCATACCATAGATATCGGGTGTGCGCCGGCAGGGGTTCGAACCCCGGACCATGTGCATGGTCGGCGAGAGTCCTAACCACTGTGCCACCGACGCATACGAATATAGAAATTAACCTGCTATAATGTTACAACATATTATGTAGTCTAAAAATGCCCATAAAGAATTTCGAGTTAGCTATTCAAAAAACGGCTACATATATCTGGAAAACATTCGAAGTAAACAATCTGGCAAAGAAAAGTATACTTTGTTAATGTAACCATTTAGGTTTTTCTTTTCACATTACAATCTCCTAAAACTTCTCACTTTGAGAGAGTACAGCCTTATCGATCAACTTCAAGTTTTTGATGTTAAGTCAGTAATTCGCTTAAAGCAACCGGAGATTCTTTGTGCAAAAGAAACAGGTCCAACCAGCTACTATTATTACCCTGGCCTGCTAAAGAACCTATAAATTCTGTATTACATTCCTTACTGAATTAGTTGTGTTCTCTGAGCTGGTTGATTCAATTGAGAAGCTTTCGTTGTCTGCCTTCTAAACAACATCTTCAGCGCAGGTTTTAGTATTGAAATGAACCTATTTGAATTCTCCATGAATGATGTAATTGTGTCTCCTGGCAACCACTGTCGTGACTGACTGTTAATTTACGTCTCTATTGATCATTTTTATTGACTTGCAATTCGAACTTTCTTGTCATGTGATTTACTTTTTATTAGCTAGTAAATTTAGTCTATGATAATGTTTTTTAATCGCTGGTTGATTCACTTGAATACCAAGCTTCTAGGAATTCCCTGACATTTTTGGTGTTTCCTCTGTGCCAGGGAATTCCTAGAAACCTGTTACTCAAATGAATCAACCAGCGATTAAAAAACACATTATCATAGACTAAATTTACTAGCTAATAAAAAGTAAATCACATGACAAGAAAGTTCGAATTGCAAGTCAATAAAAATGATCAATAGAGACGTAAATTAACAGTCAGTCACGACAGTGGTTGCCAGGAGACACAATTACATCATTGATGGAGAATTCAAATAGGTTCATTTCAATACTAAAACCTTCGCTGAAGGCAGACAACGAATGCTTCTCAATTAAATCAACCAGCTCAGAGAACACAACTAATTCAATATCATCCACGTTAGCTACAAATCTCCATTATCACTTTCCTTAATTTATATCAGATTTAGTTTTACATTGATGCATATTAATACTTACAGCTGCTTTTAAATAGTAATCTATTGTTCTCATTGATTCGATATTATTTTAAAGACAGCAATAACAATAATTGTTTAATTGTTATGGACATATAACTGTAGAACTTGATGAAGAAGAAGTTATCGAAAATAATATTCTAAGTTTACTAATTAATAAGTTTTCTAAAACCAGAATTTAGTTTAATTTATTTCACACAATTTTTGTCTTCTTTCTAGCTGTACTTGATTTAAATGGTCGATTCTTTGCTGGACGTGTTGTCAAAGCCGGATTTTATGATGCAGAGAAATTCAGAAATCTTGAACTCGCTGATGCACCATTGTCTACATAACTTCTGTCTTTCTATTTTTTTTTTAATGTACAGCATAATAATGGAAAAAACTACTACTTATTTCAATGCTTAGACCACACGAGTATATATTACTTACTAATAAATGGAAATAATGATAATTTTATCTGTACAACCGCACCGCAAACTTGCTTTTTGTTTTCCTAAGATTTCATCTTCATTGCAGTTGGCAATGAGGCACATCTATTGTGGGAAAGGGCGGGGGGGGGCTGGCTAGGGATACTCTAACATCTGGCTGTCTAAACCTCGGCAGGTGGAGAGAAACTTCAATTCGTGATTGAAAGTCAGGCGCCTAGACCAATGTGCCACGGTCCATCTTCGTAAAAGTATGCATTAAGCAGTGGTAAATTTCCATGGAAATAAACCAACATACTTGATTTACTTTCAAGTATTGTTTTGCAGGAATTTGATTGTTTACAGATTTGATCATGAGCTGATATTGGTTAGAGAACCAGTGCAAAAACTAGGGAGTACTGGTCAAGTGTTTCATCCCCGGTTGGTGCCCTTCATCAGTACGCGCCCATCAGAGTTCAAACCCAGGCCCTTCTGGTTTAAAGGCATGCTCGTAGATCATTCTGCAACTAAGACCTGAACCACATAGCCCACGATTTCCAACTTCTGCCGATTTGCTATATATAGTGCAAACTCCAGCCAATGTCTTCGGCGAGTAACTAACTTAATGGACCCTAGTGGTTACGACTTCCCACTCCAGATAACTTATTGTATAGAGCCAGTTGCTAGTGAGCATCATATTTATTTCAATTATCAACAGGACAGTAAGCATATATAATATTTCAATAGCGGCGTATTTGCCAGTCATCTACTCCAATTTCATGAAGTTAACAGGGAATAATAATCAAGTTTAAAGCTCCAGGGTAACCAACCAACATACGATGACGGGAGAAAATGCGAGAAGCATTAAAATTAATCGTTTAGAGAAAAATTTTAAAATGTGGGGCAATTCTCAATAATATGTTAAACAAGAACAGTCCAGTTTGTCGTAGTTATATATACATGCTTCTACATGTAACTCGTTAAGAAAACTAAATCAATGCATACCGACTACTTTATTGATCATTTATTTAGCTACACAACGCTGCTGTCTTATAGTTAAACTCTACCCACTGATACCTCAGAGTGTGCAGGCGTCGATCTACCTGGTTGCAAACTGAATCACAGCAACTTCTGCCATTATGAGATTGTCTCACTTAGATATAAGCAAATTATTTCGAGCTCTAATCAGTTCCTTTTGTAACCACTGGCTTCAGTACTCCATTTCTTATTTTGGATGAATTTACACGTATCCGCTATATTTCCTGTCTCTGAGGTCTTAATTCTAAGACTTTTTGACGTCATAGGTATTGTTTTGCTATTTGACAACGACCGAAAACTTCCACTCATTTGCTATTATAGTTTCATAGTAAAAATCGAATTCTACTTCATGGAAAAATACAATTTACTGATTCCTAATTTATTCAACACATAAGTCATTTTCACCGTTTGACTGACTAAAGATTCCTATGGCAGCGTGGATATCTGGAAAGCCAGTCATCTTTCGTTAGATGCCTTCTGCCATATATCGACCGCATACTTTATTAGGCTCTGCAAATGAATGCGAAACCTGTTAGATTCGATGACCTGCTAGTCATTGTTACACTGGCAAAGCTTCTGCTGTAATGAAAAGTCAGTCATGATAAATACAGTATTCTTTTATTTACATATCATAGAGATTTTGCAAACAGAAATATTAATTTTTATTAGGAAATGAAAGTAGAAAATTACAAATAAGAAGTAAGAGACATTGAAATTGTTTACATAATAAAATAAAGCAAATACAAGTTTATTTGGCCTACATAACTGTACAAAAACGAGAACTGCGTACTGGTTCCACACTAGGAGCTTCAGTATCTTTGTTTCCGCTACTAGTGTGGGAAAAACCATTGAGTGAGCTGTGATTTAGTGCTTCTTGAATGTCAAAATCTACCACGTCTTCAAGGTGATCACCGTTTGTTTTTGGTCGGCTTTTAGGTGCAATGGACTTTCGTGTATTTTGTTTAGGCTGAATAGTTGTTAATTCTTCTGTTATATCTTGTACTTTCAACCGTCGATTGGCACTTCTTAGCCTACTTGCAATCGGTGGAGTAACAACTTTTGCAGGACTTAATTTCTTAGCTGACCGAAGCAATGATTTTCCATTCAGTACTGTGACATCATCTGACTGTTTTCTAAAAACATACTTGGTATTATGCGGTAGACTTACCTACGCTGTTTGTGGACCCCAGATTTACGTCTATCCTTCTCCGGCATTCTTCAATAATTGCACCTCGTAATTTGACAAAATATCTGGAATTTATTTTAAAGATTAAAATGCAGCAACTAGTCTAAACATATGCACGATAAAAATTACTTGAAAATTGCAAATAAACAGATTCAGGAATTTTTTCCGATGGAATTCTATTGATATTAGGTTTTTACTTGTATAGAAAATACTGGTATACCAACAAACATCACAAAATGACACAGAAATAAACTATGGAAAATGAGTAAATAAAATCATCTCAAAATCAAGGAGGCGTATAAACTTCAAATTTCGTAAGCACCGCCTAGTTGTCTATCAAATGACCTACCAAATTTAGTTCGAACAGTTATGATTCTTTCTTAAGATGTCTTTTTGGTGAGTTATTTACATGATTATAGACAAAAGAGATCGCTGAACTATGAATAAAAGGAGGAAGCGACTTTTTAACTCAGAGAAGGAGATTTTGGAAAGGCTATATGTTATCTGGTTTTTAGCGATATGAAATTATATTATGAATGGTAGAAAATATTCACTCAAACCTAAGTGGTGAGAAAGGCGTGATTTTAAAGATAAGGAAGCCTCTTATACTGGACGCCTTGACATACACTTTTTAGCTATCTCTAAGCTCCTACCTTTACCTCTCATATCACTAATGTTTGGTAAAGCCTAGCAAACGATGTCAATACTGTAACGTATACGACCAATATGATATGGTATTATATATATATATTCAGGACTTATTTTTACTTTGTAATTGGGTCTATTTATATGTTCGAGATAAAAATTGAACTTAGAATCAACTGCTTCTTAGATGTAGAAACAAATATACGGTTTTCAAAAATACAACATGGAGAGAAGGACTAAAACTCAGAATTTGTCCAGTGAATGCTACATTTTACTTTTCAGGAGAGAGAAGTCACCTAGTAAAAGTAATATTGATCGCGAATCAATGTGAAAGTTTTGTGGAGATGCACATTAATACGCCAAAATTTCCATAATACTAAAAATGAAGTATGCAAAGCATTGACAGAGAATGGAATTTTTATCTTATGAAGGCGCACATAACACAAAAAAGCATGAAGACGTAATTCAATCAAAAAACTGCACAATAATTTAAACAGTACTTTTAAAAAAACAACCAGGCACAAGTGGCTTGAAATATTTTGCGTAGACAGCCTTAAGTAAACACTACACAAGCACAATACTTATAAATTTCGGTACTTCATAAATATGCTTATTTATTAATAAAATCTACAGTAACATTTGAGTTGTTTTAGAGGAAAAACTCAAGGATAAAATTTGCAGGTGACGTTTGCAACTTGACATAATCCACAAGTTAACACACAGGAATTGAATGAAGTCAGAGATTATTTCGATTAAAGTTAGCATGTGTTGCTATTTACCGGCATAACTAACAATAATTACATATATATATTAAAATATCATATATTAGACAAAAATGTATTTAGACATACCGCCAATCAAACAAAGGTTGAACAAAGCATTGCGAAGCTAATATTTCACAATTGACAGATTAAAACAATTCCAATATAACTTAAGTGAGAAAAACTTCATACGTTCTGTGAGCAATCGGCCGCACTTTTACCACTTTATGCAAAATTTTTAACGCACTAACACTGTAATGAGGAACCTTCAATACAACTGTTACGGAATATTAGATACAATGGTTCCAATATCCAATATAGATTTTACGAGCTAGTATAAACCAATTTGATTTCTTTGTGCTCACCTCTTGATTGTGAGGTAGAGGTTCCTGATCTTCGGTATACGTCTGCGTAGCTCGTCCCACCACTCGACTGTCGTAGCTTTGGTTGACTCCAAAAGGAGTAGTGCTGGGATTAATTATGTGGTTTGTAGTATGAGGTGTGTTAAGACTGTTACTACTGTAAATGGAATTGATCCTTTCACTAGTTGGTCCTTTGGTATCATCGCCAATAGAAAAGAGATAATAATAATAGATATAATTAGTGAAGGTATTCAGACTAACAGACAGAAAAAGAATAATTAAACGTAACAACAGTCAGTCAACCGGTATGTATATATATACATATATTTATATATATACCGGTAATAATGATAATAATAATAATAGGTGTAGTTAAAGCTGTCAGGAGAGTAAGACGGGAGAGAATGTAAAGAAGTAAAACGACAAATTTAAATGTCTACCTCTGAATGGTGTATGCGATTTTAAGGGGGTGGTTAGCCAAAATTTCTTCGTGATATCAGTCGTGGGTTGGATTTGCGTATAATTCATTGTTCTTACTTGCATTTAAAAATGCTCGTTTTACCGGTAAAACTGGTTATCCAGCACGCTGTTTGTCATGACAATTTCAACAGTCGACCATCATACGCTCATCCTACAAGTGAAGCGTCAAACATGTTAGAGTGAACTAATGATGGTGGACTTATTCTGTCTCAGATGAGATGGGAAGCATTCGTGAACATTAAGTCACACACATTCACTGCTTCCAGCCACACAATAAACTGAAGTAATTGATACCTATCTGATCATCTTCTATGAGAATCCATCTTCAACCAGACTCAAATAAATGTGCCCTTGACTAAATACTATGGAAAATTTTCAAACCACAAGTTATAGACTGCATCCAAGAAAAAAGCATTTCCACTGAGCGGCTTCACATGTGTTATATGTTCAGTAAGCAGTATCGGATCAGTCTTTCAACAAATTCTGCTATGTTCTAGTACCTGAAACAGTTGCTGAGACCTTACTAATTTCCAGATAACCAGACTGTACTCTTTATATGAATATGGAATTTCGGTGTTGCATCCGATTTCCTCATTGTACAGGTAATAATCAAACAGGGCATTTACACTGGTGATATTATGCAATAAAAATATGAATATAAAGTTAATTTAAAATACTAACAACAAATTAATAAAAGAGACAAGACGTCTTTTTATTTCGAATATCGCAGTAATTCAGCTGTGTCCTGCTCTATACCTTTGTCATCTCATAAAATGTGTGTTATACAAGTTATCGTAGAGATTTTAGCTTAGTCGTCCGAGCATGAAGTCTTTTAGATCTGCTTCTGACGCTGCCTGATGAGACGTCAAGGGTCTTTGTGTACAGCGTAAATGTTCGGGGCCTGACAAGACAACAATCGTTAGTTCCTTGCATGAGTTCAAGTGTCTATCTTTGACATCATTAATAACTTGGTTTAGCGGTATTCCTCTTGTCTTAACGGTGACTTCTAGTGCCATTCGCAGTTTTAAAAATCCTTTCTTTATCAGCCCAGGACACATTAAGAGGCAGCAATAAAGAAAAGTAGGTAGGGTACAAGAATTGAAAACATCTGAACATCTAGACCAAATTTGGCCAGATTGTTTTAACTTCTTTGCACAGAAGTTCGCACGAAATAGCTTTCTAGAAATTAGCATGATTCCGAAAGACCAAGAAACATCACACGAAATATACGGTTCAAAGTACTTAACATTCAACTTAGTTTCCACTACAGTGCTGGCTTTGATATTCCAATCTTGGGAACCAACCAATTCATATGAATCACCCTTGTGTCTGAAGGTGAACTTAACAACCTGGCAATTGAAGGGACTCAGCTTAAGACCATTTGACAGGGACCACAGGCTGATTCTAATAAAAGGTTATTTATTTTGGAACAATTCGACTAAGAAGCAACAAGCATAGAAACAGTCAAATCATTGGCATACTTAACAAAACTGCCTTCATCCAACTGGGACAAGCCGTGTAAGAAAAAGGAACAGCATCTTGAAGAACTCTGGCCACATTATGTGTGGCATTGGATGTTTTCCCACTGTAAACAGTGCACTACCTCCTATCAGAATGGCAAGAGTGCAGCCACGTGTTATTCCAGCTACCTGAGAATGTCGCAGCAAGCTTCTGTAACAACGGAGGCCTAAGTAGATAGTCAATGGCGGATGTGTAGCTAATGAAGGCACACGGGATATTTTTGGCACCTTGGTTCATATAAGAAACAATATCATGATATAAGACGGCAGAAGAATCTAAAGTACATCTACCATACTTATATGCAAATTGATTAGGGCCATTAAAAGCCTTTTATTAAGACTAAGGTTCAAGCTAAAGCAGTCCTTCCATCATTTCTAAAAAAGGCAAGGTTATGAGAATAAGTCTGAACTTAACCCTTGATAACTTTGGCACAAAATATGTTGTAATCTTCCAAAAAAGCAGGCACAATCGTACTTGGAGGATGATTCCTTGAAAATACCGAAGTATAAAGTGTCGGGTGCACCATCCCAACCAAAAAACTCGGTAAGTCTCAAGGACTGGAGACATTCAAGGACGTTATTCGTATTAAAACCAGAGATGCGGTCACCGACTGCACTAGTAACTTTTGAAATCATAACGCCAGCTGGAGGCATTTTAAGGACTAGTGGGCGTGCAGGCGTTAACTGAAGTACAATCAATATTTATTTGCCTGCCGACCATCACTTTCTTAAACTGCTGACGCATATTTAATAAGATTTCGCATGCTGAGAAATTGAATGGCATATCATAGTTATTCCCTGTATTCACAATTTGATCAAAATTTTCCATCTATTAACATCAGGATTATCTTTCATCTCGTACAACCTTTCTTTATTTCAGCTTAGCTTTTAGTTGAAAAGAACAAAGGGGATCAAATCTTGAGTTTAGAATCTGTTTCCGATATTTTACTATGTGCTTACGCTGTACACGGTAAAAGACAAACAACGTTGTATTAAAAGCACAGGCGAAAACTTGAAAGGATGTAAGTTGACAAAACCGAATTTCAAAAGTGCGAGGCGAATGCAAAAGTGCATAACCGCGTAAAACACACATATAACAAACGAAAAGCAATGTTCAGTAATACAATGGCACATATTCCACAAGCATATGTAAAATTAGTTTCTGTAAGCATACAACATGAGTATATGAATTAGTTTCATATGCGTGAAGTTGGGCTTAATATAGGGGTACCACATGTGTTCTAAACAGTGCGCCGAAGCTCTCTGTAGGCCCTTATGCGACCTGTCCCAACACTCCATGGAATCGGAGAAACTGCCAAAGGAATGGAAAAGAAGCATCCTTTCTCCGATCTTCAAGGGTGGGGATAGGAAAATCCCACTAGTTATAGACCAGCAGCTCTACTCTCAGTGTTATCAAAAG